TGGGTCCTAGAGAACACTGTGCTTGTTTCTTGTATCTTGTATATCTCTTTCGGTCTCAAAATGCCAAAAAATACAAATCAAACCAGCTTATACAAGAAAAGACCATTTTTTTCAGCAAGGTATATATCTTCAGTGCCTAGTAAAGAATGTGGCATTTATTCATTCAAATACTTATTAAGCATCTACAACATGCTTGGCTTTATTCTAGGAAGTGTGGAGCTAATGCTTGAAACATTAATGAGTCCCATCTGCAGTTGGGACTAAGGATCAATCTTGCACCATAAACCTGGGCCCTTCCGTGCCCATCAAGATACAATTGTTTCCCTTAACTATCACAGTTTTTGTCCAGCCATTTTAACTGGGCTTCTCCTTAGTTTTCTACTGGTTTCCCAAGTTCCTTGCCATGGCTAGAACTCTGCCCTGCACTCTAGTCCACTCAGGAAAAAATTAGCCCCTGTTTATTTCCAGCACGAACTTTACGAGCTCTCTGAATCATGATGCACCTGTCTCTTTAACTTCAAAAACAACCATTGCTCATTCTTTACAGTGGCGATTTCAACTTCTATTATTCTTAAACCTCCTAGGTTACCACTGCTACCTCTCTCTCTCCCAACAGATGATCTCACCTCTTATCTCAGAGTAAATAGGAGACATTTGATACAAACACCTGGAAATTTATATCTACACATCTTCAAAATTATCTGCATCTTCACCCATTATTTCCTTCTTCCCTGCTTTCATTAGGGAAGAACCTCCCCTCTCCTGGAAAAAAACCAAGCTCCTCAAGTTAGGGTCCGGTTCTCATTCTTGCCTTGTGTCTCTTTGACTTTGAAGCACAACTTTCATTTGAATATATAAGTTCCCTTATAAATCAGACCTATTAACTTTTCCATACAGAGTCTAAAAATCCTCTAAAGTAGCTGAAAAGGTAGTAAAGCAATGTTCTCAATAGGAATTTTAATAAACTAGATGTTTTTACCCTCAGCACTCTTGACATTTTGGATGGGATACCTGGGTGGGGGTGTCCTCTGGATGAGAGGATGATCAGCCAGCTCTGGCCTCTATTCACTAAACGCCAGTAGCACCTTAAGTCCTGACAGTTAAATGTTTCCAAACATTGTCAAATGCCGCCTGGGGGACAAGTACCCATTTGAAAACTAGTATTATATACAATCAGAAAATGAAATGTAGGATTTGAAAGCAGGGTCAAGAGTTTTATGTTTCTGCATTCAGAATCTGAGTCATGTTTCAGTTTGAACACCATTAATGACAAAACTTTCAGTGTTAAAATATATTGCAGAGCTGACCCTTGAGCAACACAGGTTTGGACTGTGCAAGTCCACCTACATGCAGATTTTTTACAGTACAGTGGTATAAATGTATTTTCTTTTCCTTATGATTTTCTTAATAACACTTTCTTTTCTGTAGCTCACTTTATTATAAGAATACAGCATATAATGCATATAACATACAAAATATGTATTGACTGTTTGTGTTATTGGTAAGGCTTCTGATAAACAGTAGGCTATTAACAGTTAAGCTCCGGGGGAGTCAAAAATTATACAGCGATTTTCAACAGCATGGGGGTTGGTGCCCCTAACTCCCATGTTATTCAAAGGTCAGCTGTATAGTGAAATTGTGGTAAATAATTAAATAATTCAAAATTCAGCTAGGGTTCCAAGATAAAGTTATGAATGACAATGAAATAAGTCAAGAATAGAATGATCTAAAAAATAATAAAAGTAGAAAGATCTTCATTTTGAAAGATGTATAATAATGAAGAATTTGATCTTCTCTGCTTGTTCTTTCTGTAGGAAGCTTTGTTGAATGAAAAGGAAAGCTGCAAAAATCTTTGAAGTGACTCAGTATTCACAAAATCCTCCTTGAGAATGCCTGTAAATATCCCTCCAAAGAAGCGTTTCTGAATTACATAGTTATAATAAAAACTATTACTTCCTCTTCTGATTGGTAGAAAATAAGGCACAGATTAAGAAAATAAGAACTCTTCCAAACAGTATAATGAAATAGTATACATTTATTGTAATTTAAAATGGTTCATTACTTAGTTGCCCTATTTAATTCACATACATATACTGGTACTTGCTGTGCACAGTAATCAATAGGTTAAATATATTCATAGTCACTTCTATTAAAAATGAGGTCAAGGGTCATTAAAAATACATAGGAAATAATGCCCTATACTAATTTTATTTCCATGAGAAGATTCAATTTGCCATTTATCATTTCAATTCGCTCTCTGTTTCCAGAAAGAGAAACTTGACAGGAATAGAATATGTTGTGGTTAAGTGTAAGAGCTAGAGGCAACCTGGGGGGGGTTTGGATGCCAGGCTCCCTCACAGGCTAATGTGTGACACTGAGATAATCACTTACCTTCTCTGTGCCTGCACTATAGAATTCGATGGAATAATGAATGTGGAAAGCACAGTGCCTAGTATGTCCATAGCTATCATCATCACCATCAGTAACCATCCCCATTCCCTAGCCACATCATAAAGGCTAACCAACATCCCAGTCAAGAGACAGGGCTTGCAGGACCTTACAAGAACAGGACCAGGACAAACTTTGCACCAAAAGTGATAATCAACTAATGATGACTTTTCTTCCTCATGTACATTTGGACTCACTGGTATCTGATTCTGGTATGATTCTAAAAATCTCTCAGGAGCTTGCTGCTGGTTGACTATTATCCTGATCATCAAGAAAGGAATTATCTAGGATTTAGCACATTCTTCAAGTAACAAAACCTAATTTTGTTTCTTAAAAAGGTAAGATATACGAATATATCTTATGCATTGCAAAAAAATAGAAGCAGAGAAAACATATGGAAATAGTGATCTCATTTATTCATTTTACAATTATTAAATGTCTACTATGTACAAGGAGTAATTTTGCTGGGTGTTAGAGAACAATACAAAGATGAATATAACGTGATGACTATTATCAAGCAGTAGAGACAACTATAAAACGTACATATTAGACAGCAGATTCCGTATCAGAGGCATGAGTTAAATGCTGTAAGAACATAGAGGAGAAAGAAAAAGTAAAATAAAATATAGGCAAATGGAAAATTTTCTTGGCTTTTAGGAAGATATATAGAAGCTATCTATAGGGAGGGCAGCGACAAGGAAGGGTGGATTTTCCATTACCTTCAGCTATACTATCTCACCTCACCATCTGTAACAACCACAGTTTTCGTACGGGAGATATGGTAAATAGAAAAAATAGCCATCAGAATAAGAAAGATTGCATGCTGAGAAGTATATGTGAAAAAGAGGACTGTCCCATTCATGATACAAAGTGAGGGAATTTATGGAGTGATTATATACATGGACACTACAGCATCAACTTAAAAATCTGCTGTCATGGGGCACCTGAGTGGCTCAGTGGGTTAAGTGTCCAACTCTTGACTTCAGCTCAGGTCATGATCTCAGGGTCGTGAGATGGAACCCTCTGCACAAGTCTGCTTGTCCCTCTCCCACCCCTGTCACGTACCAGGCCAGCCTGTGTGCACACGCACTCTCTCTCATATAAATAAATAAATAAATAAATAAATAAATAAATAAATAAATAAATAAATAAAATCTTTAAAAAAAATAAAAGGCCACTGTTAGCTTTTATTTCCATGTGCTGCAATGCCTATCATTGTCTACATGACTGAATGTGGCTCCAAACTCAGGGCCCAAGGCTTTATTTCCTGTAAAGCCATTCTGGTTCTCAGTAAACTAGGAATAACTTTGGCATCATTAAAGCAAAAAATAAGTAGACCAACTTTATGTGACTTCATTAACCAGCCTTTCCTTCATCATCTGATCTGCTTCACTGTAGACAAAATTTAACTCAAGGATGAAGAGCTGCAAATGTTTCCACCACATGGCTGCTAGCCAGAAGGCATGTTCTTAAATCCTCTGAGAGCATAGTGATTAGACTTCTTCTGCAGGAAGAGTAAACCAGCAAGAAAGAAGTTGTCCTAATTTTTTAGCTCCTGCTACCACCTCCCTCTCTACCCTTGTCCACACCCTTAATTTATTTGTCTTTCTATATATCTCATTTATAAACTTTCTCCTATAGTTATTTCTCGGATTTGTAACAAGCTCAGGGCATTTCTATTGTTCTTGCTCTCAGAGTAAGTTCCAGAAAATCACTATGCCTGGAAGGAAACATGGTTTACTGAACTGAAGTAAGAACTTGGAAAGGATGGCTCTAGAATGTTCTAAACACTATGATTTTATTAGTGCACAATGTGTAGCTGAGCAGAGTGATTAACCTCCAAAGGGTATTGTGAATTTTAAAAACAAACAAAAAATCGGAAGGGATAAACTGTACTAATCTATGATACAATCACAATTAATTATTTCAAAACTATTCTCAGTGAATAATAACATCGAGAGATTGGTTTTTAGAATGGCCTTAAAGGGGCGCCTGGGTGGCTCAGTCGTTAAGCGTCTGCCTTCGGCTCAGGTCATGATCCCAGGGTCCTGGGATCGAGCCCCGCATCGGGCTCCCTGCTCAGTGGGAAGACTGCTTCTCCCTCTCCCACTCCCCCTGCTTGTGTTCCCTCTCTCGCTGTGTCTGTCTCTGTCAAATAAATGAATAAAATCTTAAAAAAAAGAATGGCCTTAAATAAGATCAAATAAAATTTTTGAATCTTCTCATATTTCCGAAACTATTCCAGTGAACAATAACATCAAGAGGTTGGTTTTTAGAATGGCCTTAAATAAGATCAAATAAGATTTTTAATTCTTTTCAGAAACACTTTAAATTTATTTAAGAAAAAATATTTAAAAGAGCAACAGGCAATGAAAATAGTCTAATTTCCAAAATATTCATTTTGAAAAACTGTCATTTCTAAAACTGGATTTGTAAGACTGAATCTCATAGCTCTGATATGATAGATAGATGAATAAAAAGATTTAGCTACTCTTCACTTGACATTTAGATTTGGTATTAAATACTGTACCAATAGTAAATGTTTACCTTACTTTGCACTCTTCTGTGATTCAGCAAAACACCCATTTCAAAAAATGTCACATGCTTCCTCTACCCTGCAAAGGTATCATGGGATTACTGTTTATGAAAGTAGGAAGATGGCTTGAAGGGAAAAACACTGGAGAAATCTAAATTCTTGTCCCAACTTTACTATTTGCCATGCAACCTTGGGTAAGTCATTTAATCTTGTTGAACCTCATTTTCTCCTTTGAAAATGGGGACAAAAGTATTGCTCTCTGCTTTACCCACACGATTGTTGTGAATATCAAATGACATGTAAAATACTTTTAAAAATTGTAATGATTTTACCCTTTAGTAAAGATGTGTAATGAGGCACCTATGATATTTTTATATATATTTTCAAACTCTTTAAAAATATACTTATAACTCAAGAAAATACATCTATAACCCTTATCATGATTTTTCATCACTTCTTTTAAAGTAACTAATATACACTAGAGCATCAGGATTAAGCTCATAAAGTTTTGAGTCAAACTGTCACTTACTAGGACAAATTGCTTAATCTATTTCTCAATTTCTTAATCCATAAAATGGTATATAACAATAGCATCTACCTCACCTTCAGAGCTGTTGTGCACATTATATTCATTCAAATATGCAAAGTACCTAGAGCAATGACTCCTATGCAATAGACACTCACAAGTACTAGTTCTCCTAAGAATAAGAATCTGAAAAGATATGTGAGTCAGCTGGCAATTTTATCATGACCAGAGGTAGGTATTTAAATAATCAGACCAGGGACACCTGGGTGTCTCAGTCGGTTAAGGGTCTGCCTTTGGCTCAGGTCATAATCCCAAGGTCCTGGGATTGAGTAGGGAGCCTGCTTCTCCCTCTGCCTGCCGTTCCCCCTGCTTGTGCTCTCTCTCTCTCTGACAAATAAATAAAGTCTTTTTAAAAGGTAAATAAATAAATAAATAAATAAATAAATAAATAAATAAATAATCAGACTATATGATTCATTTATTCTTTCAGGAAAAAAAAAACCTTAAAAATTTATCCACTTGTCTCTCTTAAAATCCACTCATCTCTTGCATCTAAGAAGACAAGATCAAGAAAACCTTGAAAGCCTAACTGCTCATTTCTTCGCATTTTTTCTTAAGAAACAAAAAGATATAACCAATATGGCTCATAGCAGTTGAGAGTATATGGCTAAACAACATCATATTCCAGGCTTCCACTTCCCTTTGGTGGTTCACTTCTGGGTCTGCAATACTTCACCGTAAGAAAAAGGAAGCAACGATGGACTTAAATGAGGAGATACAAAATAATCTACCACGCCCAGAAGAGAGCCAGAGAGCCTCATGGTCATGATGGACCCAACAGAGCCCTGTCTTGAGAAACAACTACAAGTTTGTTCTTTGTCTTATCATCTTCTATTTCTGAACAACTGCAAACTGAATTTCAAAAACTTGACTGGATGGCAGTCTCACAACCATCCCCTCCAACTGCATATAAGGAATCGTCAAATCTTACTGATTTTTAACCTCTTTATCTCTTTCATGAGGTCTATATTCATATATACAACTGCCTACTAAAATTTTCCAGTTGGATATCCCACATGTACCTTAAACTCAGCCTAATTTCCCACCAATCTCTTAATCATATATCTCCTATTATGGTGAATAACACCATTATCCCCTCATTTGAGGGAAAAAAAAAGTAATTTGATAGACCTCATAAGTTCTTTCTGCTCCTTTGACCATCTACCCAGAAAGCACATGTGTCATGTGCATGCAGACATGCACCCCCCCACACACACACTGTCCAACCAATCAAATCACTACTGCCTATTAATTATCACCTAAACTATCACAGGTGTCTCTTTACTGATTTTCCTGCCTGCCTCTAATTTCATCCCAGGGTCCACCTCACCTTGACCTAACTTCTATACTGCTGCCAGAATGGCTTTCATGGGATGAACATTGGCATGTCTTTTTTCTGCTTGCATTTTCATAATGCGGTATAAGATCAATTCTGAACACTTCTGCAAAAAATACAAGACTCTTCAGAATCTGACACCTGCCTCTTCACTCAGATTAATCTTCCAATGCTATTCCCCTTACCTGGAGTATCTCTTCTCTGTAAGAAGATCTCACAGGTCTTACAAGCTTCACTTGAAATGCTGCCTCCTTCATGAAGATTCTCTGTCTCTTGATGGCACACGTAGATGCTAGTGCTCACATGCTTTCAGTAATTTTGTCAACATCTCTCTATCATAACAATTACCTTAGAGCTATTAGTTGTTTGTTCACACATCTATCTTCTCACTACTATTCTGGGAGGCAAACCAATATATGTATTTTTAAATTATAACACTTAAACACTGTGATGCATTCTCATTGTAGACACCTTAGAAAATCCAATAATGTTTAATGAAAACGTAAAATTATTTATATTTCTTCTACAAAGAAAATACCATTATTTTAAAAATAGCTCTTCTATTCATATACATATACACACACATTCACATGCACACACCCACACTACCTATTTTTTATTTGTCTTAGATCATTTATAGTTTGGTTTGTTTGTCTGTTTTTCTAGCAGCTAGCACAGGGCCTACCACATAAATAGTCAACAAATATTTACTGAATAATATTTTTGGAAGGTGTTGAAAATTTTATTAACATTTAGTTTAAAAAGCTTTACACCTGTGCCATGCCAAGACATAGAAGGTTCTTAAAGAAGTTACCCATTAGGGTTTGCTCCTTGGTTTAGGAGTCATGGGGCCTTGGTATTGTTTTAAGCGGTTTAAGAATTCATGATCTTGGTCCAGGGCTGGTAATACTGTGCCACTTTCTTCTCCCTCAGAAAAATGGTTCTCGATAATGTTCAAAGCAGTCAGGGCAACCTGAGGGTTCTCATGAAGTTGCAAAGCCTCAATTTTATCAATGCCACCCATTTCCTCTATCAGAAGACACATGTTTTCCTTCTCTGAGAGCTTCTCTGCTGCCTGGAGGATAAAAGAGATAACATCAAGGATGATGATAACAATTTTGGTGTCTTGGATGGCAAGCAGATTCACCAGTGGCTCCAGGACGCCAGCGTGGACAAGCTGGATCAACTGGTCTATGGTGCCTCCAGTTATGAAGTCAGCCACGGTCCAAACAGCCTCTTTCCGGACTTTAAATTCTCCGTTTTTCAGCAGAACCACCAAAGGAGGCAGCATGCCGCAAGCTACCAGCTGCTGGATGTGCTGGAGAGGCCCTGCAGCCACGCTGCTCAAGGCCCAAGCTGCCTCCATCTGGATGGAGGACTTGGGGGTGCATCAGGAGCTGGGGCAGCACGTTCAGCATGCCCACGTCGATGGCCACCGGGGTCTGGTGATCCGTTCCCGTGACGATGTTCCCCACGGTGCAGAGGGAGGGGGTCTATGCCCCATTTCTCCGTGTCCTTACCTACTGCCTTATAATCATTTGTCTGAACTACTCTAATAATCTGTAATTGGTCTCATTGCCACCAATTTCTTTTCCATTGGATTCACCCTCCATATTGCTGCCATGATTACATTATCAAATGAAAATCTTGCTACATTATTGTCACGTTTATGAATCTTCTGGTGACTTTTATTGCCTATGAAATAACATGCAATTCCTTATCATTCAAGACTTTTCACAATTTAGCCCTAATATACTTTCCTGACCCATCTTCTGTCATTTCTATCTCTTATGTCAGGGATCAGCCTTATATCTTATCTTACGTCTTATCTTATGTCTATCTCTTATATTGGGGATCATTCTCGGTTCTCAAAGATATGCCGTGGGGTCTCACTCTTGACTCGTGCCACTCCTTCTGACCAAGATACCCTGCCCCAGTGTTCCTCATGAGGCAAATATTTGATATATCCTTCAAGAACAAATATATATATATATCTTTTACAAAGTCTTTTTAAACATTTCCTCCATTTTTCAGCCAAGTGATTCATTCTTTCAGCTGTTTCCAAAAGCTAAAACTAATGTTTTGTAAAACTGCCTTCTCTGACCCCCACTAATGGAGGCTCAGATTTCGTAGGAGTGGAGTGGAGACAGGAATCTGTTGTTTTAAAAACATGCTACATCCCAACATAAACAATGCCAGACTGAACGCAGTTCAGTTCCAGTCCAGACTGAACTCTGGGTTGCTGAGTGCTAAACAGTCTTCTTAAAGCATGACTCGGGATCATGCTGGAAACAGCCAGAAGTAGAGCATGTTGGAACCCATGCTTTCAGGTATCAATAAAACCAATCATTGTTTTTCATAGGTTTTATGCACATGAGTCTTTGGGAAGTGAAATCAGCTTCTGTTATTTCAAGCTGTTCAAAATACCAGGGAAATGGAGGGATTGAAAACAAAAAGTAAAACAAAGGCATAAACTATTAAATATAGACAAAAAAAAAAGAAAAGGACATGAAGTCATGTAAGCTGTCTCTATAATACTGTACTCGTGGGGGGAAAAAGTGAAGAGGAGAAGAAGCACAATGAAACTAGTTATAAAAAAAAATATGATTTGTGTCCAAGGAGCCATCAAGGGTCTTGGCTTGTTCAAATCAAATCAGCACAACTATTATCCTAGATTGGCACTACTGGCTCTGAACAAGTTACTTAGCCCAAAATTCTTGGGATTTTCCTCATTCAAAAAAATATTCAACTCCTTTTGAAGACTTCAGTTCAAAGTAACTCTAGATAAAACCCACCCTCCCTTCTCTTGGGTACAGCATGTTCATTCACTGAACAAGTGCCCAGAGAAGAAAAATGCATTAATAGTTAATCACTTCTAAAGTTAACTTTAGATTCAAGAGTTTTAGAGACAGAAAGACTGTTAGAAGATTTTCTAGACCATACCTTTTAACCCTTTCCTCAACAGAGTGCACACAGAAAATGCTATTTGTGTGGCACACTGGGATAAAGAGATGAGACTGTCGGAGACAACAGATGACCGGCAATGGGGCTCCTGCTGCCAGTGGGTGGGTGTCAAAGAGCTCAGTATCTCCCAGAACCTCTGTAACCCATACCGCTTGAGAAGAGATCCTAGATAAACCAATGCATCTTAGAGAGGAGAGAACTCAAACCCCAAAGGGTGACTTGACACCAGAGAGATTAACAAAGTCACTTAGTGGGAGAGCGAGCACTGCATTTTCACATGCCTCATATGAACTGTAGTTCCAATCTATATGCCATTCAGAATTCACCAATTCTGATCATTGGTGGAGGAGTCATTTCAAGGGACCCACCAATTCACCAGGGCACCCTGCATTGGCAATAGATTGCAAAAATTATGATCTCTCCCACAAATATCTGTACTGATTTCAACTGTATTTAAATGCTACTTAAAAAAAGTAACAAAGACATTCATTCAGAATTCTCTTAATTCACTGAAAAAATGCTAGGTAAAATCCTAAAAGCACTTTGTATATAATGTATAAATGTATATATACATACTATAGTTTGTGTATATATATATATATATACATACTTTGTATACAATAAATGGACGAGGTTTCCAGGAATTAAGCAGGAGTATGAGTTTAGGGAAGTAAGGGAGAAGAAGCTGGGTGCCCTGGGAGAATCTATATATCCAGGATGTCTAGAACTTTGCATCTTCCCAGAGCAGAAAGCTCCATTAGTGACCCTCCAGCATGAAAGCCATGCTCAGGAAAAGCCAGGTATGCAGGAAAAGAGTTCACTAGAAATAACTGAATAAACAACACTTCACAGAGGCAAGCAGCAAAGAAAATTGTCTAAAAGAGATTTAAATACAGGGCCAAAGCTCTCCTGAGAATTTGTAGCCCCTGGAAGTTTCAGCCATGCATTTAGGATCAAAATTTACACTGTTTACATGATATGGAAAATCGTAAGCTAAAAATGTTCATTTCTGGGCCCATTTAAACTAGACCCAGGTCTGTAATGTCCTCATACAGGTGCCAGAAAGAAACACAGATCCTCTCCGGAGGAATAAATTAGGAAAGTCCAAAGGATTGTGTTTTATTGTGAAGAAAAGTTTGCAATAAAAGAAAAATCACAAAACACATGAGAAAAAACTAATCCACCACAAACATTGTTATAGGAACTATAAACAATAAGAACTTGAATACTGGAAATGTACAGAGAATATATTAGAAAATACATTTATATGTTTAAAGAAGTTTTAAAAGGGGAAGGGGGAAGGTAAAAACCTCACTAATAAGCAAGAGATTAGGTAGATTTGGGAAAAAAGATCTAGAAATAAGAGTATAATAATTAAAAGTAAATAGTCAATGCAGGGATTAAAAACAGCAGATAGATACCATGATGGGTACAATTAATAACATGGAAAATTCTTATGCAAAAAGAGAAATTACACAGAATACAGCAATAGAGATAAAAAGATGGGAAATACTTTTAAAAAGAGTTGAATTTCCCTGATGCTGAGCGATGTTGAGCACTTTTTCATGTGTCTGTTGGCCATTTGGATGTCTTCTTTGGAACGACCCCACACCAGTCAGAATGGCTAACATAAACAAGTCAGGAAATGACAGATGTTGGCGAGGATGTGGAGAAAGGGGAACCTTCCTACACTGTTGGTGGGAATGCAAGCTGGTGCAGCCACTCTGGAAAACGGTATGGAGGTTCCTCAAAAAGTTGAAAATAGAGCTACCATACAACCCAGCAATTGCACTACTGGGTATTTACCCCAAAGATACAAATGTAGGGATCCGAAGGGGTATGTGCACCCCAATATTTATAGCAGCAATGTCCACAATAGCCAAACTGTGGAAAAAGCCAAGATGTCCATCAACAGATGAATGGATAAAGAAGATGTGGTATATATACAATGGAATATCATGCAGCCATCAAAAAAACCAAAAAAACCCCCAAATCTTGCCATTTGCAACGACGTGGATGGAACTAGAGGACATTATGCTAAACGAAATAAGTCAATCAGAGAAAGACATGTATCATATGATCTCACTGATATGAGGAGTTCTTAATATCAGGAAACAAACTGAGGGTTGCTGGAGTGGTGGGGGGTGGAAGGGATGGGGTGGCTGGGTGATGGACATTGGGGAGAGTATGGGCTACGGGGAGCGCTGTGAATTGTGTAAGACTGCTGAAGCACAGACCTGTACCTCTGAAACAAATAATATATGTTTAAAAAAAAAAAAAGAAGATAGTAGGAAGGGAGTAATTAAGGGGGGGAAATCGGAGGGGGAGACGAACCATGAGAGACTATGGGCTCTGAGAAACAAACTGAGGGTTCTAGAGGGGAGAGGGGTGGGGGGATGTGTTAGCCTGGTGATGGGTATTAAAGAGGGCACGTACTGCATGGAGCACTGGGTGTTATATGCAAACAATGACTCATGGAACATTACATCAAAAAAGTAAAAGAAAGAAAGAAAGGAAGGAAGAAAGAAAAAAAAGAAACTTAAATGTGTATTCCTTATATTTCTGTATCATTTGAAGCTTTGACAATGATAATATATTCCATATTGCATAACCAAAAAAAAAAAAAAGAGTTGAAGACATAAAGAAAACAGAGGAAGTCCAAAATACATCTAGTCAGAGTTTCAGGACAACCAGGCAAATTTAACCAAAAGAAAGTAATATAGCCATAATTAATGTCAGACAAAATTCTTTTTTTTTTAAAGATTTTATTTAATAGAGAGAGAGCAAGCACAAGCAGGGTGAGTGGCAGAGGGAGAAGCAGGCTCCCCACTGGGCAGGGAGCTGGATGTGGGGCTCCATCCAAGGACCCTGGAATCATGACCCGAGTTGAAGGCAGACCATTAACCAACTGAGCCACCCAGGCACCCCCAAAATTATTCTTTCAAGGAAAAAAATACTACTAGTAAAGAAGAAAACTCTATAAAAATAACAAGATATAATCAAAAGAATATCACATTTATAGGATTATATTATTTGATATCATAGCCTTAAAATAAATAACATATAAACAAAAAGAACTACAAAGAGAAATTGAAAAATGCAAATATTTGT